AGTCAGGCAGAGAAGGACAAATACCATATGTTTGCACGTATAGGAGGATTAGGAGGAACTTGACGGAGGACCAAGGGGGAGAAGAAGGGCGGAAATGGTGGGGGAAAGGGAGAGAGGCAAACCATGAGAGACTCTTGAATGCTGACAAAAACTGAGGACTGATGGATGTGGGGGGGAGGGGGGGATGGGCATGAAGGAGGGCACTTTGGGGATGAGCACTGAGTGTTATGTAAAAACTAATTTGACAATAAACTATTTGTAAAAAAAAAAAAAAAAAAAAAAGAAACCATTGCCTAAATCAAGGTCACAAAGTTTTGCTTTTATGTTTTTTTCTCTCACATTTAGGTCTATAACTCATTTTGAATTAATTAGTTTTGTGTTGTTATTTTTAAAGACGTTAAAAAAGTGTTATGAAAATGTAAAAATATGAAAATAGTGTTAGGGTTTCAGGGATGGATTCTGAGAATTGCTTGATCATTCCTGAATGCTGAAGATTAGTATCTTTTGGGAGTGTGGGAGCATTAGCTGGTCATAGCCTTCTCTGCATGACTGGAAAGGCCCATAGGTAGTTTACTCTTTTGAACAGATGGTGGCAGCAGAGCTTGGATGAGTAAAAATTCTCCTTTTTATACTTAGTATTTTATAATTATGAATCTTTGTGATGTTTTTGTCAATAGGTTGTTAAGCATTATTAAATATACTTTTAAGATTAAAAACTATATAAGTTTAGAGATTTTTTTTCCGCATATTTATTCAGACCTTTTAGTTTATGAAGCTGGTTTGTGAAGTATGGACATGATTTGCTCTAGGTCTCCAACCTTAGGACACGATTTTTTTTATATTACTCTAATGTGTTTTTCAGTTTACTAAAAAAATTTCTTTTAATCTTTTTGAGAGAGAGAGAGAGAGAGAGTGAGTGGGGGAGGAACAGAGAGAGAAGGAGACACAGAATCTGAAGCAGGCTCCAAGCTCTGAGCTGTTAGCACAGAGTACGATGTGGGGGGCTCGAACTTTGGAACCACGAGATCATGACCTGAGCTGATGTCAGACACTTAACCCACTGAGCCACCCAGGTGCCCCTTTTATTAAATTTATATATTTATTTAGAGAGTACATGTATGCGCATGTGTGCATAAGCAGGGCAGGGGTTTGGAGGAGACAGAGACAAAATGAATCCCAAGCAGTCTCCACACTGTTAGCTCAGAGCCCAGTGCAGGGCTCAGTCTCACAACTGTGAGATCATGACCTGAGCCAAAATCAAAAGTTGGACACTCAACCAACTGAACCACTCAGATGCCCGTCTAATGTGTTTTACCTACTTTAAAAAAAAAATTATCTCACTTCTACCCCCCATGATCTTTGTGTAGACATAAAGTAATAGAGTAGCAGTCAGATATTGACTAAAGCTAGTCTCAAGCTTTCTCCTGAAACACATTGGCAGACTTACGTTCTGATTTAGAAGATAGGTAATATGGAAGCTAGAAATAAGGATAATTATTTTTTTCCTTTAGTGGTAACACTGCTTTATAACATCTCAAGATTGGGCCGGAGATTTCCCTTTTTGGATTTGAATATTAAACAGTAAAGTTAGGTGATTCAGTTAATCCCTTGACAATTGTTTTCAAGATAATAGAAATAGCAAACACTTAGTGAACACTTATTGTTTGCGTGGTGCTATACTGAATGCTTCGGCATGCGTCATTGTCTTTTGTTCTCACAACAGCTCTTAAGTGGTATTATTTTTGCCCTGAATTTTTCAGAGAAAGTGATGGGTTTTGAGAAGTTAAATAATTTGCCTAAAGTGATATTAGTAGATGGAGAAGTATGTGGGTATGTTCATCAGCAGCTATGCTATACTATTTTAGGTGTGTGTAATCTGTACAGAGGTGGTATTGTACTTTATGTGTCACTCTCTAACTTAGTTTTTAAATTCAACAGTCAGATTGGAAATCTGTAGCTTCTGCTGCTATGTATAACTGCCTGGTCAGTTTGTTCACCTCATGAATATCTACTATTTTCTACTTGGTCTAGTTGCTGAGAAACAGCTTGTCCTGAATTTCACCTAATCTTAGCTTTACTTCCCTTTCCCACTAGAGGGTGTACTAGGTATTTGACTTACTTTTTTTTCTGTTACCAAAATTATAGATAGTAATGGAGTAATTTATCACTTCGTGGTATAATCAGAAAGAAAAAGTTTATTTCGTATACCTGGTGTAATCGTCTCCTTGTTTTATTTTTATGCAGGTTACTCATTTTTGGATCCTATGACAGAGAGGCAAATATTCACTGTACACTTGAGTTGAGCAGTGGTGTTTGGGAAGAAAAACAGAGGAGTTCTATTAAGACGGTAAAGTGGATTTGCATAGTGTTACATCTTCATAAAGTTTGTATTCTATAAGTATGCTTTTAATAACATTTCTATATCCCTAGAGTTATTTTTGGTCATGTGCAAATAATGATGAACATCTCCTACCGGTCTTATTGCAGTATACATCAGTAATAAAATGAACCACATAAAACTAGTATTCCGAACGCTTGCTCACATAAGAAACCTACTCTATTTTTACTCCTAGAACTCTAAAATTATTTCACAGAGATGGAATTAGAATAACTCTAAGCATCTTAGAAAGCGAGTAAATTTAGAGCATTCTTTCATTCAATAGATGTGTTATAAATGCTTACTCTCTACCAGGCGCTGTGTACGATGCTGAGGAAACAGTTCAGATTAAGAAAAGACCCTGTATTTTTGGTGCTCACTTGGGGTAAAGGTTTGGCATGAGGATTAGAAGAGGGGAAAGGTGAACTACACGTTACAGGATGGAGGTAGAAATGACAATAAATGGGTAAACCGAAGAAGTGAACAAGGTAATTTCCAGAAATTGACAGATATTATGAAGAAAATGGGGTTATGCCAGAGGAGATGGCTTAGATGATGATGATGACGATGACGATGGGGAAACCACTGAAACAATGACACTGAGGCAGGATGTTCATCAGCTCGGTTAGAATTTCAGATAAACTGTGAATAATTTGTTGTTAAAAGTATTTCCCCAGTTTGTATTTGCTAATCTGCCAACCCCACACTGGAAATGGGGCCTGAATCATGAAGAGGAGCAAGCCACACAGAGTGTGGGGGAATGAGGGAGTGCGAGGCACTTCCAGCAAAGGGAGTGGCAGACGTGTGAGGGCAGGGGAGCTCGAGGAGCGCGCTGGGTGCCTGAGGACCGAAGGCCAGTGTCTGGAGCATCGTACATGAGGGAGCGAGTCGTGTGTAATCTGTAAGGAGCTTGCATTTCACTGTTTGTGGTGGGAGGGTTTTAAGATGACAGGTGATGTGATCTTGTGTACGTTTGTACAAATGCCTGTGTAGACAAAGTGTTGCAGGTGGGTAAGAGCGCTCCCTGAGAGAGCCGGGTCAGGAGACACTTAGGGAGGGGAAGGATGGATACTTGAACCAGGTGATGGCTGAGAAATAGAAGAGAATGGATTTGATATACTTTTGGTGTATGAAGGACTTAAGAGTTCTGGTTTCTTTTTTTTTATTTAAAAAAGGTGGGGGGGACCTGGGTGGCTCAGTCGGTTAAGCGTCTGACTTCAGCTCAGGTCATGATCTCACGGTTCGTGGGTTCGAGCCTGGCGTCGGGCTCTGTGGTGACAGCTCAGAGCCTGGAGCCTGCTTCAGATTCTGTGTCTCCCTCTCTCTCTGACCCTCCCCTGCTCGCTCGCTCTCTCTCTCTCTCTCTCTCTCTCTCTCTCTCAGAAGTAAATGAAAAACATTAAAAAAATTTAAAACATTTAAAATAAAAAGACTGTTACCCAAATTGCAAGACTGAAAAGGCTATTAAAATATTTTAAATGTTAGAATTAAAAAATAAACAAAAATAATGCTTTACTTTCAACATATTTTAAGGTTGAGTTAGATTCTTTGGGTTCTTAAATGAATAAAAATTGTCACTAGTTATTGTTTAATTTGTTTCTAAAGTGAGTTGGTATTTTCTGAATATTCTGGTAGCAGTTTTAGTATCAATTATTATGTGCTTCTTGCAATTTGCATAAATCTACTAGTCTATTAAAGATTTAGAGTATTTAGCAAAATGTTGTCTACAGTATTTCTTTATTAAGCCCCTGAAGCTTCACAAATGGAAACAGAGTTCCAGAATGTTATGGCTGTAATCGAGACAGGGGGTGGGTGGGAAGGCCAGGGAAGTTGAGGCAGAAGAGTCTCTTCCCTTAGGGAACCACAGCCTTTTTTTTTTTACCACTTTATTTCATTTCCTGAGCATATATTGAAATATGGGTTTAGTAATAATAAAATTCCAAAAGTGCCTCTTGAAACCCCAAACCTCTCTTGAATTACTTTTAGTCTTTTGAAAGAAAAGATCCATTTAGCATGTCAATAGTTTTTTGCAGGAATAAATTATGGTTGTATTCTTTAAAGGTGTACTTATATATTTAGTTGTTTCTATTCAGTTTCTCTTGGTGGTAATATAGCCAATCCTGTGATTATTTTTTGTAGCCAGTATTTAGGAACACTATTTCTTGATTATGTCTTCATTATGTGAATAGGTACTTTTGAACTATGCTACCTAGCTGTTTATAGTAATGGGTTATGGTTTCTCCTAGAATAATGTTATTCTTTATAGCATTTTTTTAACCTTTTTTTAAATGTTTTATTTATTTCTGCGAGAGAGAGAGAGAGAGAGAGCATGTGCAAGGGGAGGGTCAGAGAGAGAGAGAGAGATACAGAATCTGAAACAACCTCCAGGCTCTGAGCTGTCAGCACAGAGCCCGACACAGTACTCAAACCCATGAACTGTGAGACCATGACCTGAGCTGAAGTCGGATGCTTAACCGACTGTGCCACCCAGGCGCCCCCATAGCATTTTAAAAAATAGGCACAGTTCTCAACTTTTAAAATAGATCTTTAAGCATATTTTCATGCTCTTAAAGAATATGACTTTTAATGGTAATGTGGTATCTTTGAATGTTCTTTTGACCTTAAATTGTTTCTAATTTCTTTCTGTAATAATTTTATGAATATCCTTACATAAAAATTGAGTAGTATGAAATTCTTTTGGAATAACTAGAATAATTTTGATCTGGGTGGGAAAATAGGAGTAAAGCTGGAAAAGGAGGATGGTCCACATAGTTTGAATTTATGAAGGTGGTAAGGAGCTGGTGAAGATTCTGAGCATGGGAATTACATGGTCAAAATAGTGGTTTTAGAGAATGTCTCCCATTTCTTTGATGGTTGTTCATGCCCCAGCTTTCTTCTGAGTTACATCTCAATTTGAAGCAACTCCTTAGGGGAATAAAATAACCAGTTCTGAACTACATGAATACGTGGAAGAGCAGTATTGTTTTATACAGCTATGAAATTGTCGTAACTTGGCCATTGCAGTTGGCATTTTCAGTTTCCTTTATTATATTTGCAAAGATATGAGATTAGACAGCTTTAATATTTTACAGCAAAGGTTAGTAGGACTTTAATTTTGAGTTATAATTTTAGGTCTTTACAGATGCCATAGGTAGTTGTGGAGAAAGTATTGCAGGTTACTTGTTACATCTGGTGTCGAAAATGTCAGCAGCAGTTAAGTGTCTCCAGGCACTAAATTACATGTGTCTGAATTTAATAACTCTAGGGGGGGAGAATTTATCGTGTTCTTCAGGGCTACATAAAACATTGCGGAAGAGGATTAAATAATTTGCAATACATTGCAAATTGGGCTAGAAAAAAGAACATCACTAAAAAGTAAGTACGTGAAAGTACTTGATGAGTTTAGAAGCTGTCTTTGTATACATACAGTTTTCAGGTTTAAATTAGTTTAAAATATTTTTTGTTTTAACATTTATTCATTTTTTTGAGAGACCGAGGGAGACAGAGCAGGGGAAGGATAGAGAGAGAGGGAGACACAGAATCTGAAGCAGGCTCCAGGCTCTGAGCTGTCAGCACAAAGCCCGAGGTGGGGCTCAAATCATGAACCCTGAGATCAGGACCTGAGCCAAAGTCAGACACTTAACCTAAGACTGAGCCACTCCAGCACCCATAAATTAGTTTTTTGAATGTTGAAATGTGTTCAGTGAAGTGATCCACTAGTTTGAGTGAAAATGTAGAATGAAAGAAACTAATTCTTTCCATATTTTAAATGTGCTTGTGAGTCTTTAAAGCATTATCATGTACCTTATCATGTTGCTGACAGTGAAAGATAATAATAATTCTAGACAAAATCTTTAGATTTGTACTGTTGGCACAAGTGTTAGGAGGCGCAGATGAACAGTTTTAATGTATTAGCTGCAAGTATTAGCAAAAGCAAATGAATAGTGGCTTAGGCAAGTAAAACACTTGCCTCGTGTGCCACACTTTAAGTACAGAGCCTGGCTCTTACCTGGCTTCCTGCTCCATCAGTCTTAGCGTGAGAGTTTTGTCCTCATGGATGCAAGATGTCTAGTGCACCCCTAGATATCCAGCCTTCAAGAAAAAGGGTGAGGGCTAAAGCCTGCCAGAGGTACTGGTCAGCCACAGTTTGTCTTTTTTAAATGCTTTCCCGGACCCGGAGACATGGAGGGGAGGGGACCCCCGTAGCGGGGAGCCACAGAGAGTCAAGGGGAAGAGAAAGAGCAGCTGAAACTGCTCATAGAACAGTCCCTGGAGAAGACAAAAACCTCAGCTCTGGACAGATAGTGATTCTATTTCTAGCTGTGGCGTGGACTTTGGGCTGGGTGCCCCGGTCCCAGGCGGTGCCAAGGGAAGCTGTTCCACTGCTCTCCCGGCTTCATCCTCTGCTGGGAAGCAGCCCGGCCTGCGGGATTACATTTTGGGCATTATCTTTAAAGTGTGCAGACTAAGATCTGGAAACAAGGTGGGGCTTGGGACATAGAACATGGCCCACCTTGGCTACAACCACAACACAGGGAGATCAGACCCAAAAGAGTGATTTGCAACATTTGGTTCCAGAAGGGACTGGGGCACTGCCATTTTTCTCCCCACAGCCACCAAGGTGGGGCCTCAGGGAGTGGCCAGTGGGACTCAGTGGAGGGTAAGACCTGCCTACACCAAACCACGCCCATCCCCGCTAGAGAGCTGCTGCTTTTTTTTTTTTTTTTTTTTAACCAGAGCTCAGGGCAAGACCAACATGGATACATTGCCATGATTAATTCTAGATCAATTCTTTCTATTCTGATCTGTTTTCCCTTGTCTTATTCATATCCCTCCTCTCTGATGGACTGGGCACTCTGGTCACTGGTTTGCTTAAGCAGTCACATTTAATCCATTCTCTAGATGTATATTCTACACCTCCACCCCTACCTTTCTATCTCTTTCTTTCTGGAGTAATCAGAATATATAGT